CTAAAAAATAATTGTGGGTCCACTAAATATTAAAAAGAAATGAAAAATATTTATTTTAGAGATAATTTATTTAAGAAAAGATTTTTGGTCAACAATATTTTATTTCTTAAATATGAATTATATATATTTATCTTTAAATTTTTATAAAATTATTCACCTTTTTGTTTCTGTTTATATATTTTAAATTTTTTTACGATGTAATTTATTAACATAAAATCAAAAAATATTAAAAAATTTAAGTGTTATAGTGATGGATGTCAAAAGAATAACTTCGAAATCAGAGTTTTATTATTATTAAATTATATGTTTATGTAATTTTGTATAATATACTCCTTGAACGATAATTAGAATATTAATTTGTATAAATAGCAATTAGTTTGAAATTACATAAAAAAGAATGTAGAATGATTTGTAAAAAAATGAATATTCAAATAATGTATGATGATATATTAACTACACAACTAGAAGGGGAGTCGTTAAACTTTAAAATCAAATGTTTAAATATATTATGAAATTTTTATTCTCTATTGTTCGAGATTTTTACTTTATGTTCATCTTGATAAGCTATTTTTTATATAAACTTTTTTCATATTAAATTTAGGATTTAATATACTATTTCACATAAATTGATTTCATATATATTGAAATTTTTTACCTGCATTTTTTGTTTTATTAAAAAAAGTTGTACTACAAACAATATCTTAAATCACACTTTTGATTAAAAAAAGTATCATGTAAACAATTATTTTGTTATCGCGAATGTATAACTTGGTTTGTTGTCATTTGGGTATTGAATATATAACGATCTAAATCTTTCATTTTTTTAGTCAATAGTTGTGATTAATGAGAGGTTATAATATAATAAAAAGGGAAACAAATTGTGTATGCATTTGAATCCTGATTTAGATGCACATTTTTTATTGGTCATGTGAATATTAACCCAACTCATAGCCATGTCATTTTATGATCAACATTTTTTTTTTGGTTATATGACTTAAATGAGGTCCCATAAAAAATATAGTTTTAAAAAGACGATTTTTTCTTCTTAAAGTGTATGCAAAACAAGATAAATATTTTAAAAAATAAGTAGATGTTAGCCATGTAAATTGTATTGCGAAACTTGCTGATATTTTAATCAGCGAATGATGTTAAAATTTTATAATTAATTTTAAATATTAAGAATAATGATCAACACAGTAATAAAGAAAATTTGAGACGTTGGGGTAGAAAGGTTACTGGTAAGTTATATGGGGGGTTTAGGAAAGGATAGGTGTAATTAGGTTAGGTAGGAGGAGGGGTTTAGTTTAGGGTAGGAGGTAGGAGCAGGGTAGGTAGTTAAGAGGGGCGGTTTAGGAGTAGGAGGGGTAGGGTAGGTAGTTAAGAGGGGCGGTTTAGGAGTAGAAGGAGGGGTAGGGTAGGTAGTTAAGAGGGGCGGTTTAGGAGTAAGGTAGCTAGGAGGTTAGGGGTAGGGTAGGAGTAAGGTAGAAGGTAGCTAGGAGGTTAGGGGTAGGTAGGAGACCGCCCCTAGCTAAAGAGCAGGGTAGGGGTAGGTACGGTTTAGGAGTAGATAGGGCAGGGTAGGTAGGTAGTTAAGAGGGGAGGTTTAGGAGTATGAGGAGGGGTAGGGACGGTAGCTAGGTTTAGGAGGTTAGGAGGTAGGTAGGAGATCGCCCCTATATAGGTTAGTTAGGTTTAGGAGTAAATAGGGCAGGGTAGGTAGTTAAGAGGGGCGGTTTAGGAGTAGGAGGAGGGGTAGTGTCTTAGGGAGCTAGATTTAGGGGCAAGGTAGGAGTAGGTAGCTAGGAGGTTAGGGTAGGAGACCGCCCCTAGCTAAGGAGCAGGGTAGGGTAGGGACGGTAGCTAGGTTTAGGAGGTAGGTAGGAGATCGCCCCTAGATAGGTTAGTTATAGGTTAGTTAGGTTTAGGGGTAGGTACTGTTTAGAAGTAGAGAGGGCAGATAGGGCAGGGTAGGTAGTTAAGAGGGGCGGTTTAGAAGTAGGAGGAGGTGTTTTAGGGAGCTAGGTTTAGGGGCAGGGTAGGAGTAGGTAGGTAGCTAGGAGGTTAGGGGTAGGTAGGAGACCGCCCCTAGCTAAAGAGCAGGGTAGGGGTAGGTACGATTTAGGAGTATGAGGAGGGGTAGGTACGGTTTAGGAGTATAAGGAGGGGTAGGGACGGTAGCTAGGTTTAGGAGGTAGGAGATAGGTTAGTTAGGTTTAAGTGGTCGAGGTAGAGGGGTAGGTACGGTTTAGGAGTAGATATGGCAGGGTAGGTAGTGAGGGGCGGTTTACCTACTCCTCCTCCTAAACCGCCCCTAACCCTAACCTAACTACCTACCTACTCCTCCTAAACCGCCCCTAACCCTAACCTAACTACCTACCTACTCCTCCTCCTAAACCGCCGCTAAGCCTAACCTACCTACCTACTCCTCCTCCTCCTAAACCCGCCCCTAACCTTAAACCTACTTAAACTACACCTAGACCCCTAACCTACCCACACGCCACTCCCCCTCCTACCTAACTAGGGGGGAGCTTTTCTCAATCTTGGAACCAAACTGGAAATTAAATACTCAAAGATCAAAACCCTCACATGGCTAATAGATTTTTTTATTAAATATTTTATATTACATAACAATATTTTTTAAATTTAGAAATAAAAAAATCAAAATGGTATCGAGATATAAAGAATGGAAGGTAATTATGTTCAAATTCTCCACTTGCACCTGGAAAAAGAGCTGTACAACAAAAATCAAATGGTATTGAGATAAATTAATCAAGATATGTTGAAATTCTCCACTTTGTTGCATGCCACATAAAAAGATTTGTACAACACAAAACCCAAAAACACATAATCCCTGAAACTAAAATTCTTAACTAAAACATATTAATTAATGAAATTTAAAAATATAAATCCTTTGTATAATTCATATTTAACAAATACCAAAAATATTTCATTAAATAAATTGCGTTTAAAGGATGAAAACAAGGACCCACAACTACTAGTGTTTTTTTAACATAAAAACAAAATTAAATTATATAGAGACGGCCATATGAACACTTGGAATCACATCAATATTTAATATATATTAATTAATATTGTATATAAATTGTTTATATTAAAAGGGAAAAGTCTAAAAAACCCAATAAACTTTAGTGTTTGGAACGATTAAATCTTTGGACAATTTTTTAGAACAAATAAGTCCTTCAACATTCTAAAACTTGTTAAACAACTCTTTGGACTTTCTAAAACCATACATTCTTATGACCTATAAAATTAAGAAAAAAGTCTAAAATAACCCAATGGACTTTAGTGTTTGAAACGATTAAACCCTTGGATAATTTTTTGGAACAAATAAATCCTTGGACTTATTTTTATGACCTATATAATTGGTTAATGTGATAAAATATTGGAAAAGGTCCAAAAAACCCAATGAACATTCATATTTTGAACGATTAAGTCCTTACACATTTTTTGAACCAAAAACAAATATAATAAAACCTAATTACATTTTAAAAAAAAGTTTTGATAAATTTTATTTTAATTAAAATTAAAATATATTCTGGATTTTTCAAACTAAAAAAACAAAAAAAACTAATAAGAGTTATTGATTAAATTTATTTTAATTAAAAATAAAATATATTACATATGTGATATTTACTCTGTCTC